CCTTTACCCCAAGAATCGTCAGTTCACTCCCCTTCCATACCTCTGATTCTATTATATTCAACAGTTAATATTGTTCATCAGATTTTTTTAATTTCCTTGGTTTTTAGATTCACTTGTTGATAGTTATGTATTTGTTGTTCATAATTTTTATCTTTGTTTACTTTCTCTTCTGAAAGAACCCCCTTCAGCAATTCATATAATTCTGGTTTGGTGGTGATGAACTCCTTTAGCTTTTTTTTATTAGTGAAGCTCTTTATCTGGCCTTCGATTCTGAGTGATAGCTTTGCTGGGTAGATTATTTTTGGCTGTAGGTTCTTGCTATTCATCACCTTGAATATTTCTTGCCATTCCCTTCTGGCGTGCATGGTTTCTGTTGAGAAGTCAGCTGACAATCGTATAGGTGCTCCTTTGTAGGTTACTACCTTCTTTGCTCTTGCTTCTTTTAATATTCTCTCTTTGTCTTTTGCTCTTGGAATTTTAATAATGATGTGTCTCGGTGTGGTCCTCTTTGGATTCCTTTTGTTTGGAGTTCTGTGCGCTTCCTGGACTTGTAAGTCTAATTCTTTCACCAGGTAGGGGAAGTTTTCTGTCACTATTTCTTTCAGTATGTTTTCGATATCTTGCTCTCTCTCATCTTCTGGGACCCCCATAATTCTGATGTTGGTTCGCTTGAAGTTGTCCCAGAGGTTTCTTACATTATCTTCAATTTTCTGGATTCTCTTGCCTTCTAGCTTCTGTGGAGGAGTGTCTTCTGGTTCTTTATGTTCCAAATCTTTGACTTGATTCTTGCGATCTTCCCTTATGGTTTTAGGACTCAGTAAAATATTTTTTATTTCAGACAATGTATTCTTTATTTCTTGTTGACTCCTTATTAATTCTAGTTGATCTCTTTTCATATCCTCATAGGCCTTATCCATCTTTTCTAGGAAATTCTTGAAAAACCTTATAAGCGTAGATTTGAACTCTATATCCAGTCGCTTTTTGTCCTCCATTTCTTTCGTTTGTGATCTATTTTGTTGTCGCATTTTGCAGTTACAGATGGGACGGGGTTTCAGGGTGGAGCCTGCAGCTTTGGCTTGTCAGCCCCGCCCTATGCGGGTCCTTCAGTGCTCGCTGCTGCGGGCGCCTCTGAGAGAAAGGTGCCCTCGATTTTCGCCTGCTGCCAAACAGTCTATGCTCTCCCCTAATGAGCCCGGTATTGGGGTTCAGTTCAGTTGGAAGTGGAGTTGGAGGTGGCGTTCACAGCAGTCTGGAGCCCAGGTCTCCTTCCCTTCAGGGCAATCTCGCGGCACAGCCGATCGTCCCTTCTCTGTGCGCAGTGTGCGCGCCTCCGGGACCTCCTTTCGCCTCTCCCCGGGGTTCCGCCTTACAGCCCGGCTCCCTATGGCTGAGCCTGAGTCCCCGGGGTCTGGCCCAGAACCGGGTTCAGAGCAGTTGGGGGCCCAGCACAGTCGGAGCTTTTCTCTCCTTTCCGCTCGGGAACGCCTGCCAGGCACTCGGCCTCCCTCCTCTCTGGCTCCGTCCTCTCCGTACGCCGCGTCTGCGTACCTTGGGCTTTTCCAGCTCCTCCGCGCCTCCTTCTGGTTTTCTCCTTGCTTCTCGCTGTAGAATTTCCAGTCAGTCAACCTTCCTGTAGTTCTGGGCAATGTCCGTTTTATATTTTAGTTGTATTTTATTGAAATTGTTGTGTGCGGCTGCGGCTAGGTGTTCACCTGGGCGCAGCCATCTTGGATCCTCCCCAGCCAGAACTTCATTGGTACTCTAGAACCACATTCTCTCCAGACGGCACTGCTAGACTTGACCTCTAGGTTTTCATTGCCCACTAACTAGATATTTCCATTTGGGTGCCCTGTCATCATCTCAAACTAAACATGCATAACATTGAGCCTCCCAGTTTCCATTTCCCTGCCCATGGCATCAGTATTCTCTCACCCACTGAAGCTCAAACCTGAGTCATGTTTGATGCCTCCTCCCCATTCTTCCTTTCCCAAACACAACTTTTGCCAACTTTATTTGCAGCATCTCTCTAGCTCTTTGTTCTTTCCATTCTGTCCACTAATCGAGGATCTCAGTGCCCATGCCTTGAATACCTAAGGGCTTCTCACTCGGTCTTCCTGGCTGTAGTTTCTTCCTCCTTCCCTTTGAGTCTTTCTTCCATGTCTGGCCAGACAGATTCTCCAGAATGATTGTATCTTCTCTCTCTCCTGCTCAAAAACCTTCACGAGCTCTCCTCACCATGGAAAAGTCCAAACTCCTCAAGCCCAGGCCCCTGTGTTTGGTCCCAGCCCACCTCACTGGCACTATTCCACATGGTGATAGTGGTCTCTGAGCTGGACTCTGGGGTCATAGCTTATTCTCGACACTGACATGCTGAATGACTCTGGGTAAGATTTAGCCTCTCTGTGTGCCTGCATTTTTTCTTTAAAATCACTTTATAAAAATGTTACAGTCATTTCTAGGATTATAGTGAGGATGAAAGGCATTTAGAACAAAGCTGGATGCATAATAAGCGCAGAAGTGCCAGCTGTTTACTGTGCGGATCGGTACAGAGCACGTGCTGTGGTCTGCACACCTCTCCCCGGTGCACACGTCCACCTCTCCTAGTTAGCTGCCTTTGCTCAGTCCAGACTCTCCATCTGCTGGCTGGCTCTCACTCACCCTGCAAGGCCCTTATCTCCCATTTCCTTCCGGTAAACGCCCGTTTGCTGCCTGCCGTGCTGCTCAGCCTGGCCTGGGTAGAGGTGGTGGCGCGGCAGGGTGCGTGAAGCCAGCCATAGGCCACACGTGGTGCATGTATCTGGAAGGCTCGTTTTAATTAATAAGTACGTTTATTCATTTTTATGTCCAGACGTATCACGGAGAAGAATGCGACATTGACCAAAGGTTTTTAAGTTCAAACACACAGCTATTAAGAATATTCAGAGGGAAGGGGTCCTGGGCCGCCCCCCGGCCCTAGTGGGGAGCCTGTATTCACTCTGCGGTGAAAAGGTCTGAGAAGCGGTCTGAATAGAAGGGCCAGTGTGGATGAGTAAGGCAGGGTAATCCCCGGGCAGCAGAGATGGCGGGCCTTGTGCGGGGACCCTTGCCGTGAGGGTCACTTCAGCAGGTGGCGGCTCGCCTTCCTCAGAATTCGTGTCTGTTCCACTCCTCCTTGCCCATGGCAGCACTTGTATATCAGGTTGGTTTTCGGCTTTCTCCATGGGTAGGACTGATCTCTTCAGCACCATCCTGAGTGCCTGGAGCTCAGCTGCACGAGAGTGCAGGTGCAGAGTAAACGAGTGGAAGACAGAACGGTGTGAATTGGACCCTGGGCTTTACTGATTGAGCAAGTCACTTTCCTGTCAGCCTCAGGGTCCTTACCCGGAACCAGGAATAGTACTTCCCCTAAGGACGCTGTTCTAACGAGTTAACCAGATTGAGTCTGTGCAGCATTCGGCACAATAGATGACATGATGGCACTTAGCAAACATCAGACCCCTCCCAGCGTGCCAGGCTCTCCGCAAACATCTGATCCTCTAATGTCCCCACTCCCAGCCATACCTGCCTCCTGCGCGGAGCCTCACATCCTCTGCCTCCTTTCCTGCCGCAGTGTGTTCCCGTCCAAGGCCCTCATCCTCTTCCTGGCCCTTCTCACCTTCACAAAAACCTCACTCCTGACCTGCCCCGTCAGGGTCCCTCCCAGGCGGATCCCTCTGTTCACCATGTGACTGTGCTGTGCTATCCCTCTGTCTAAAACAAAAGACAAAGCAATCGAGAAAAACCTCTCTTGTCCCACATCCCCTTCTAGTTACTACCCTAGTTCCCTGCTCTCTTTATAGTCAAAAAGTCACGGAGGGGTTGGCATACTGCCTGTTTGCATTTCCGACATCCCTCTGAGCCTGCCCCCGGCTCACTCCTATCCTCAGTACTTCACGGAACCTGCGTATCTCCAGCGACCTCTGTATGCAGTCAGCATGCTGCTCCCAGGCTGCTTTACCGGTGAGACCTCAAAGCACCTCTGCCCAGGCCGCCTAGACCCTACTCCTCCTTATTTTCTCCAGTCTTGCCACTCCTCGGCTTCTTTTGCTGCAAACCCTCTCCTCCATGATCAGTGCTCAATAAAATGGGGCTAAAAAGACCATGTGGTCATTCTCTAGGCCTGTTTCCAAGGAGTCCCTAGTGCCATCTCTATCTGCCCCAGGATGGAGGGCTGGCCCAGCAAATGAAGGTGACACCATGTGAGGAGGACTGATTACATTCCCCACGTGATACTGTCCCAGGGTCCCTTAAACGTTGTTTCTGGCTCCAGCCAGTTCTCTTCTATCCCCAACACTGTCCAGTTCCCTGCCAAAACCCCTCCCACAATGGCCATCTCTGAGGAGCTCCTGTGTTTGAAACCTCCCCCAACCCTGCTTGGAACCCCCATGTATAAGTCTGTCTGGACCTTATGAGCCGTGGGCCGGCCCCATGGCTGCTCCTCTGACAAAGGACCCGTCTTCCGAGGTAGAGAATACTGCACAGACTAGTGGCCGGTCTTACAGGTTTTCTCTGGCTGGTCAATGCAGGTGACTAAAGAGTACTTCCCCTGTGCACCACCAGGGGGCACCGGAGGCCGCTAAGCTCTTGTGAGGACTTGTCCGTTGGTGGTCTTGTAGGTGTCTTTCCTCTCGCTCAGGTCTGTTAGGCAGTGGACGGAGGAACATGCACCTTGTAAAAAGAAGCCTGGTGCTAGCTGTCTCCCACCTATCAGCTTGCTGGGTGATGCCAACACAAGTAGAGCCACATTAAGGGACGGGAGGTTAGGGCGCCAGGCTGTGTTCTTTATTGATAAGCATTAGTGAACCCCTTGCCCTGTAAGCTTAGCCAGTTCTGTCCTCAGATTCCTAGCCGTAGGCAGGGAGTGCATCTGCTTAAGTCAGTTCCGCCAAGACTGTGCCTACACTGCTACAGCGGCCCCCATCAGTGTTCCGGTCAGGGAGGTGTGTGGCTGGTATCAGAACGGTCATGCTCAGGTCCTTGTCCTCAGAGGCCACCACCAATGCAGGCAGTGCTCTTCGGCTCTCAGAGGGGCTCTGCTGGTCAGATGGAGGGCTGAGTGCGGAGACTTCCAGACTCAGTCTCTTTCCTTGCCTGCAAGACTCCTTCCTGCGATGTTCTCCACACAGAGCTGAGCTGAGAGGCAGTAACTGGCTCTTGCTCGTGTCCTGAGGTTCTTGGGTAGCGGCAGGAGACTTAGGTGGGACCTCAGAGGGGATAGAAATGCCAGAGACTGTGCGAGGGGATTGGGGGAAGAGAAACAAGAGAGAGTCATTAAGTCCCTTGTCTGATTTCACCAGCACCAGTTCTTGGCTATGCCTGTAGACCTTGGCCATCCCCCTGGTACTAGATAGTACCTTGTGCCCTGGGCATACCCTTCCCCCACCATTATCTCCGAGATGAGAATCATTAAACTGCCCTGGCTGGTTTGGCTCAATGGATAGCGTATCAGCCTGAGGACTGATGGGTCTTTGGTTCGATTCCGATCAAGTCCACAGGCCCAGACTGCAGGCTCGATCCCCAGTAGGGAACGTGCAGGAGGCTGCCAATCAATGATTCTCTCTCTCTCTCTTCCTCTATGAAATCAATATATATATATATATTTAAAGAATTATTAAAGCAACCTCTGCCCTCCTTAGCCAGGCACCTTGTAGACCTTTCTTGCTTGCTCAGCAAGGACTCCCTCAGGACAGGGCAGGGCAGCCCCGCCCAGGCCAGCAGCTGGTGGTGCCCGGAGAAGACTGGCTCCCCTGAAGGCCCCCCACACTCCCTGGCTTGTCTCTGACCTGAACTGGAAGCGGGGGTCTCCGGGGTGGGTCTGTAGCACTTGGTACACTTCTGGGGGAGGCTCCAAGCCCATCCGCTCAGCCCGATGCCAGCGCTGCAGCCTTGTGATCCCTGCAGGGCGGGAGGACAGTGGGCCTCGGGGTCCAGGCTAGAGCGTGTGTGGAGGCACAGCGCCCAAAAGGATCGGGCAGGGCTTGGATTGCCTCGGAGATGTGTGGGTGACAGGACTGGGTCCAGCATGTGCTTCGGGGCCTTCGGGGTCCTCACCTGTGCAGGGGCCGTACTGCCAGGCCAGGTCAAAGTGCCTCAGCAGCTCCAGCTCTGCTTCATCCACGCTCAGGGGCTGGATCTCTGCCTCTGCAACGACAAGCTGCTCCTCAGGCCTGCCCGGGACTGTGCCCGCAGGGCTGGGCCTGTGCGCTCCCTCACAGCTGTCCCCCTGCTTCTCAGCCTCCCCCTCCGCCTGTCTTCTGTGCCCGGCCTGGTGTAGGAAGTGGAGGACATACTTCACTTCCCCTTGCGTTGCCCACATCCGCCCACAGCCCATGTCCCTCCGTGTCCACGCCCCCGCCCTCCCCGCGCCCCAAAGACCTAGCTCTGGTGCCAGCTCCCCCTTGCTGTGTCCGGCGGGGCCCTCCCTTCTCTTCACTGCTGGGAAGGAGTCAGTGATGAGCCGCTTCCGGCCCATGGCGGCCACCCAGGCAGGCGGAGAAGGCGACTTCAGGGAAGGGGAGAGACAGGCCAGCGGGCACGAGAGAGACAGCTGCTGAGAGAGAGAGAGGGACAGAGGGCTGGGCCAGAGAGCGAGCCTGGGACCAGCACCCGGCAGACAGAAGGACCAGGCCGGCAGAGAGGAAGTCCGCAGGTTCCAGGGAATGACGTCTCTCCCCCAGCCCTCAAGCACGCAAACATCAAAGGCCTAAGCCAATGGCAGGCCGCCTCGGAGAGGCGTGGCCCGCCTCCACCAATGGCAGGCTGCGCAGGCAGGGGGCGGGGCAGCTGCAGCAGCTGTGTTCTAGGGGAGGAAGGGGTGAGGCTGGGTGGGGGACCTGTCAAAATGCCCCAGACTGCACCACCGCCTCCTGCGCCCCCTCATTGGCCCGCAGGGGGTCTCTGGGGACTTACAGAGCGTTATCCTCAGACTCTCACTTCCCGTTTTCCCTTCCTAGGCAAATGTTCTTTCAGCCTCACTAATCCCCGTGGCAGGTTTGTAACTCCCCAGGGTCCAGCTGGAGCCTTGCGCCCGTCTCCCCCTCCCCCCCCCCTTGGCCCACAGAATGTTGTGCGGCAGGTCTGGAGGTCCGAAGAGAGTTTGGGCTAATCCAGCCCTCTTCCCTGCTCCCACCCCACCCCCACTGGCCCCAGGAGAGCTGGCTGGAGAAGCCCATGGATTTGGAAAGCTCCTTTCTCACAGTCTGCGCCCAATGATACTGCCACCCTTAGTCCAAGCCAGCGTCTGCCTTATCGGCCCTCCTGGGGTCCCACAGCCTGCCCCTGCTGGCCCTACTCGTCAGGAAGATTCCACACTGAGCTGGAGGCCAGAGGGTGTTTGGATCCCCAGTTCTGCATAGCACAACCTGCCATGTCTGGATCACACTATTGTGAATGTGTGCGCAGAAAACACCAGCAATAAACCTAACACTTATATGGCACTTGCAGCGTGCCAAATACTGTCCTAGGCACTTTCCCACAGATTCCCTCAATTAAAATGGATGTAGAATGGTTTTTGAAAGTAGGAAGTACTGATAGTCACAGACATTATGGGGCCCCAGTTAAACCATAGCCCCTCTGTGCTGCCCGGAGCTCACGGCCATAGGGGCAGGCAGGCGGGGCTCACAAATTGTTCGTGCGGGGCTCACAAATTGTCCGTGCAAGGCTGACATTTCTGACAAACAGGAGAGGGGGAGGGTGGGTCACGGGGCTGGCTCAGCCCTGGAAGACCTCCTGGAGGAGGCAAGCTGAATAAACAGCCTCTCAATTCTCCACCCATGACCTTTGTCCCTGGGCTCCTGTCATCGCTGACTCACCCCTCACCCGCCTCCCCCTCACCAGCTTCCTGGCAGCAGGCACAAGTGCTGGCCAGTGGGAGTCTGGGAACCGGCACAGGGACCGGCCCTGCTCTAACCACCCTCTAGAGATCCCATCTACCTCTTCCCTCCAGGGGTCCAAGGCCTTCTCCCTCCACTGCTGCCCTGCCAGGAGGGAGGTGGGCACAAGTGAGAACACTGGAGGGAGGACCACTGAAGGGGAGGAGAGGAGCAGGCATGTCTGGGGGCCCCCGCCTGCCTGGCTCTCCCTACCTACTTCCTTGAGGAGTCAGGGTCCAGAAGCGAGCTGCAGGGCCCTCCCTGCTGAATTGTTGGGCTGGGCCTCTCTAATCCCCGTCTGCAGTACGGACTAAGTGGGGCCCACATTGAGGGGCTGCTGTGTTGGGAGGGGAGCGGGAGGCCTACAAAGGGTTCAGGTGTGGGTCCTGTCAGGCACTGAGCACTCTATTCTGTGGAGGGATAATGGTGTCCAGCTCTGTGGGGCTGACGACCCCCTCCCCAGGGGGCATTGCCAGAGGTGCACGCACCCTGCTTCTGAGCCCACAAAGCCTTAGGGAGTAGGGAGCCATGGGTGGGGCCGAACCCTCCTCATTCCTGGTTCCTCCCACCCCTGAAAGCTGATAGCCGTGAGGCCCTGCCGCCGCCCAGGGAGCGTGAAATGGGGTGTGCCACTGGGCGGCCACAGCGCTCCTGCTGCCGCGGAGCCTGTTCCCTCTCCCCTCTGGCACCCCGACCTGCTCTGCGGACACTGTCTGATCGTCCCTGCCAGCTGCCCCCAGCTCTGCCTGGCCCAGTCTGGAAGATGTCTCCCTGGGCCTTCAGCTTCACCCAGGACAGTCAGCTCTAGGGCGGGCACCCTCGGGCTGGCTTGCAGGAACTCTCCACTGGCAGCGTTGCCCTCCTCTCCTGGTCAGAGAGCAATGGGAGCGAGCTCCCAAGGTTTGAAGGAGTTGGCACCCAGGGGTGTAGAACCATCTCTGTCCAGTTTGCATCTTCCCTTTGCTTGGCATCTGGCTCCTTAAGGTGTGCTGGCAACTAGACCCGACCTTCACCTTCCCTTCTTCATTTCCCCCACCTGGCCTGCTCCATCACCTTTCTTCCCGAACCCCTGCCCTATCCAGGCCCATCCCCGGCTGGGGTCTGTCACAGCTCAAGCTTCGGCTAGAAGGCCAGGCCAGAGGTCTGAGCTGGAGGCTAAATTCTCTTCCCTTAGGGAGTCTCCGGAGACCAAGGCCTAAGTTCTTGTGTCAGCCCTAACTCCCACAGGTTGGTGATGGGACTAGCAGGAGTGACCTTTGTACTTCAGCCTGGGAATACTCAAGGCCCTTGCTCCATAGTCAGGCCCAAAGTCTTGGGGGATTCAAAAGAAAAGGAGAGAAAAGAACTGGAACAGAAGCTCAGAGCCTTCCTGAGGGCTGAGGCCCACCGCTGACTGCTCCAAGGGGAAGGGGGATTAAACCTGGCTTAGCTCAGACAATGAGGCAGGATGGGGGGCCTCAGCACTGCGCATGCACCCTAAGATCATGATGGAGCTTGTGGGGAAAGCCAGCGAGAGCTAGGAAGGTGGGGGCAGGTGTGGGGAGGGAGGAAGGCAGCTGCCTGGGGCCCAATGGGCGGTGGGGCGTTGCCCGCTCTCCTTCCCTCTCCCCAGCACACCCCTTCCTCAGGCCCTCAGGCTCTGCCACCACCCAGAGCCCCCACACACTCCTTCACCCGGGCCCCCTTCCCCACCCTGGTCCCGAATTCCTTCAGGCGGCTCTCCTAGTCCCTCCCGACCCTCCCAGACATCCCACCGAAGGCTCTTCCAGACTCTCCGGCCCAGTGGAGCCTGGTAGAAGGCAAAGGCTCCCTGGGTGCGGTGTTTCTGCCACCGGACGTCTCTTTTGTCCTGTCCCCACCACCCCTCCTTTCATCACCTCCCTTTTCCTTGGCCATCCTCCTCTAGCGTTCTGGGCAGATTTGAAAAGGGCCCTCCTGGCCATTCCTCACTGTGGCCACCAGGTGTCAGACTTTGTCCAGCTGGGAGGAAAGTCCTAGTTCACTTCCACCCCATCAGCCAGGCTGTGGAGATCAGGGCAAGTTGGAGAGGGGCCTAGAGGACGCCCTGAATGGAGGCTGAGGGACCCTGGAGGCCGAGAGGAGGAAAGGGCTGGATCTCTGGCCCTAAAGTATTTTCTTACTTGCCCCAGCCCCCACCCCACTGACAAGGCTTTGTCCGCTCTTGGGAAATCGGGGAACCAGGCTGAGTCAGAGAGCTCAGGAATTGAAGTGACAAAGGAGGGACAGTTGTGGCTCCAGAGAAGGAGGGGCTGAGAGGAAGCCAGTCGTCAGAGCACTCAGCCAGGCTGGGTCACTGGCCGTCGCCCTCGCCCTGGAGGTTCAGGAGAACAAGGGCCTCCCTTGGCCCTTCCCCATTTGGGGCGGCTGTGGCGAGCGTGTGTGTGAGCGTGTGTGTGAGCGTGTGTGTGTGTATGTGTGTCAGATGAGTGCTTGAATGAGGCTCCTAACTTACCGAGGGGGTCCTAAGTCCCGGATGTCGGGTCAGTCTTTGCAAAAGTGGGCTACTGGCAAGGAGTGACTACCCTTTTTGCCACCCTGCATCCGAGCCTCTTCTACGCCCCTGGAAGTTGCCCCTCCCCCATATGACAGTTCTCCATCTTAAACACAGGGGAGGTAGATGAAAATGAGATTTCTAACCGCTCTGTCATATCTGGAGAAGACAGGGAGAAGGGCCTTCTCTCCCCGCCCTCTCACTTTCCTTAGGCTTCCCGGGAGCAGATGTCCTCTAGAGACCACACCCCTCCATGGCCCTGCGGGGCTTCCGCAACCCCCGGTTCTTAGGCTGACCTCTGGATACCTGGGCCCTGACTATGAGACCACACTTAAGCGGTTAAACCTGGGATAACCAAAAAACTCACCACCTCTCCTGAAACAGCTGTGGATGGAGAATGGCAAACTCACTCACAGCAAAGCCTGATAACATGCCATTTACCAGGAGCTACTGGCCCCTTGACCTCTAGTCCCAAAACCCAAAGGGGGGGCTGCCACTGCCAACACATTAGTAGGGAGCTCTTTGGAAGGAAGCTCAAAAACTCAAACTATGAAGTGTCCTCTATGACTGGGTAATCCTCTGTGTCCACCTCCCGCACCCTGCTCCCAGGGTGCACCCTCTACATCCTTAGCGGGAGTGAACTCCGGCCCTCATCCACCCTGCTCCTCCCCGTCCCTCGTCCCGTTTCCCCTCGCTACTTAACTGCCTGCACTGCGCTCTGCAAGGCACACAGCCACTCAGCCGTACAATTTCTCACCTTCTAGATCCCACATACTCACTGCCCCATGATTCGCTGCCATTCCTGCCTTGCCAGGCCTCAGCTTTGGGGAATGCCCCTTCTCCACTCTGTCCTACTTCTGGGCACCTTTTGCTTGCTAGGGAATGTCACAATCCATGGGTTGATGATAACAGAGCTGTGTTTGCTGATGTTTCCTGGCTCCTTGTGGCTGCCCAGCAACCCTTTTGATTCTCCTGTGCTTGTCTGTGACTCCACTCCCCAAGTCTCCCCACTCTTTCCCTGCCACACCTCAGGCAGCAATGGCATGCTTAGATCTTTTCTGTTTAAAAAACAACAGCCGACCAACCAACCAACCAACCAAAAACCCTTCATGCTCCTCTACCATCTCTAGATATTCCTTTTGCCATCAGACTTCTGAAAGAATATACTTACCCCTTCTACTTTCTTATCCTCTTCTTCTTTAATCTCACGGTTTGGTATCTGCCTCTTAACTGCTTTTGCAAGGGTCACCAAAGACTGCCTGATTTTACCAATGCCAGTGGATTTTGCCCATGTC